TTTTACTGACCACATCAACTCTGTGGATAAATACATCAAGTTCACACAAGAAGATGTAAAAAATGGCAGGTTGGCTTTCTTGGACTGTGATGTCTCAGTCTTTGATAGAGGACATTTGTAAACCGAGGTGTACCGCAAACCCACCCACACAGACCAGTATTTGCAGTTTGACTCCCATCACCCTTTGGAGCACAAGTTAGGAGTCATCAGGACTCTGTACCACAGAGCAGACAGCGTCCCCACTAACTCAGGAGCCAGGCAGAAGGAGAAATCCCACACAAGACAGGCTCTACAGCAATGTGGATATCCTAACTGGGCCTTCCTGAAAGCAGAGAAGAAACCCAAACAGCACTCCAGTCAGCCATCAGGTGAAAAGGAGGAACCCAGACCAGTGGTCATTCCGAGTATCAGAGACGTTTATTTTCTAAACATAACGTCCCAGTGGCTTTTAAACCCCAAAATACATTACGGCAAAGACTGGTTCATCCCAAAGATCCAGTCCCCCGGCACAAAAAAAGTAACATTGTGTATGCTGTTCAGTGTCAGGAGGGCTGTGATCAGTCTTACATCGGGGAAACAAAACAGCCACTGGCCAAAAGGATGGCCCAGCACAGAAGATCAACATCATCAGGCCAGGACTCTGCGGTCTACACTCATCTCCAGGCCAGCGGTCACTCTTTCAGGGATGAAGATGTTCACATCCTGGACAGAGAGGAACGATGGTTTGAGAGAAGAGTAAAGGAGGCCGTTTTTGTGAAAATAAATCGTCCATCATTAAACAGGGGTGGAGGCCTCCGGGTTCAACTGTCCCCCTCTTACAATGCTGTGATTGCTAGTATCGCTCAACCCCCTGTGAATAGTAAACAGCCATCAGGGTTCTAATGATTCATTGGTAGGCTGACGGTCCTTCTTGACCATGTGAGCTGCTGGTTTTGGTTGTCAGCAGCAAAACTGGTTGATCCACTCTGAGAAGGTGCTATTTAAGAGACTGAGCTGAATACAGCACCTCAGACTGAGGAAGTCTTTCGGATGAAAGACAAAACTTATCTACATTTTTTTTGCTTTGTTTTGTTTTTTTGAATGTCCAGAGGACCAGACTGAACTTTTTAGATTTTTCTACCTGGATTATTGAGAATGCATCAGGATATACAAAGTAACTTAAGCTCCTTTTCTTGCTCCTTTCATGTGTCCAGTTTATGTTGGAGGTAATGTCGGGTGCTTTAATTAAATAAAAAGGCATGGTTTGTTCCTCCCACAGGTTCTCTCACGATGTGACTCCTGTGATCCTTGCAGCACACTGTCAGGAGTACGAGATAGTCCACACCCTCCTGAGTAAAGGGGCCCGCATAGATCCTCCTCATGACTACTTCTGCAGCTGTGACTCGTGCAATTACCACCAGCAGTTTGACTCGTTCAGCCACTCGCGCTCCAGGATCAACGCCTACAAAGGACTGGCCAGTCCTGCTTACCTGTCCCTGTACAACGAGGATCCGGTCCTGGCAGCTCTGGAGCTCAGCAATGAGCTGGCCATGCTGGCTGACATTGAGAAAGAATTTAAGGTTCAGTTTACTGCTCCTGCACCTTCAGCTTTGATTTAATGGGAAATCACAAACTTATGTGGCGTCAAAATCACTTTTCAATTAAAGTCATGTGTTTAACCCCTTGTTGCATGTTTTATTCCTCTACTGCGTAGAACGACTACTGCCGCCTGTCAAACCAGTGTAAGGACTATGTAGTGGGCCTTCTGGACCTGTGCCGCAGCACAGAGGAAGTGGAGGCTATCTTGAATGGAGAAACGTTCTCTGAAGATGCCTACAACCTACCAGGACGCCCCTCCCTCACACGACTCAAACTGGCCATCAAATATGAACTGAAGAAGGTCATTTTGTGTTTAAACAGGCAGTGATACAAGCAGCATGAATATGTCTTTAAAAAGTAGGAAACTATTTTAATCTGTGTAAAATATTCTTTAATCTGTTGGAACTACTGGATACAGAACTCTTTTCCAGCTGAGTGGGTTCTGGTCCATCATTTAGTGCACTAAAAGTTTTCATTTCAGTTTGCATTCTGCTGGAGTTGTCTGCACTCGTGCTTTCTCACCACCATGACATGTCTTTTTCCAGCCTCACTCATCAGACTCTGGATTTGAAAACTTCAGATTTTTAAACTTTTCTGTAATCTGTTCTGTAGTTTGAATTCAGGGCTGTGGTCAGCACCACGATCTGGTAACCCTGAGGCTGCAGGTTTGAGTCCAGGTTGTGTCAGGAAGGACATCCGCCGTAAAACAATCTTTCACAAGTTTTTGTCTAAAAGTATCAGAATCAGAATAAGCTTTATTATCATTGCACCGAGATACAACGAGAACATGTACATGCAGTCGTCCAGTAGATGGATGGAGTGCATGAAACTGCAGTAAGCACGGCCTCTCTTATCCTTTTTCAGAATAATAATCTTAGATAGGAAAAGGGGGAGAAACATGAGGGTAGATAATGGTATTAAAAAAAGATCTTTCACATCTTGTCTATCAGGACACGATTTGAAACATAAAAAAACTCTACCAGCAAGCACAATTAAAACATGATTACATGCATTTGACGTCGAGGTGTTGAGATTTGTCCATGAGCGTTTTTCCGATCGGCCACAGTTCTGATGATGTTGTTTCAGCCGACAGTTCTGATAAGCATGCACAGAAAGTTCTCGGGGGGGGGGGGGGGTGCGATAGATAAAGCTTTTGTCCCTGGTTACCCATAATAAGGAGAAATTTGATAGTCGGCCCGTCTCCGAGGCCAACGGGGAGCCAGATTCAGATAAGCTTTGATTGTTGATATTCTTCAGGCAGACAGAATATTTTCTTCAGCCTTGAGTCCATCTGGATGTTCTGGTTCCAAAAAGGCCTAATTGTGGGAATCCATTCCACTGATCCATGTTACAAGTCTCTTTCGAGGTCAATCCCACTGCGCTGACGAGTCCCAGAAGCCGCAGGTGGCCTGCGATTCTTTTTAATCGCCTCCACCTTAGGGTTTAGCTCGTAAATCAGCTGATTTGTGTACTCACAGCACAAACCAAACCTTCACACAGACTCAGAAGCTTTGTCATGGCTGAAACTGCTGCCGGTGTCTTATTCAATTGTCGATAAACAGAGCCCCGCCGATGCCAAAAAGCAGATTCCCTGCTATCATAAATCCAAATATGTAAACGTCTTCAGCGTCCTCCTGAGACAGATCTGAGAGGTACATCAGCTGCCACACTCCCCACAGATCCATGACATACACCACAGCGTGCATCTCAACTGGACAAGCGGGTTCTCCAGGACCCTGTCGTTTTGTTGAAAAAATCTTGCCGATAGCGTTGAATGTCCAGGATACCAGATCCATAATCTTAATTTACGTTTGGGAGATGTGTACCAGGAGCTTCAGACACACAGAGAGCGAAGCAGGGGAAGGAAAAAAACGGGAGAGGAAAGTCGAGTAGCCACCTCAAGCGAGAGCGAGAGAGAAAAAACTGTATTTTAAAGTATTTAAGTCATTGATAACATTTGACAGGCTCCGTTATCTCTCTGTGATGGTTTTATACCTCATATTAGTGACATCTTGCCATTTAAACTAATTAATACCTGACATGTTACAGGTATTTCTATAAACATCACATTCACAACCTATACTCTAAATCATATGTGTCAAACTCAAGGCCCGGGGGCCAAATGTGGCCCTCATTGACATCTTATCTAGCCGCCAAGATGTTATATTAAATGTAAATACTTTTATCACTTTAATTTTTTTCAGTAAACTTTGATTATGATGTCAAAAGTGCAACAGAGAACGTCAAATGAGACCAGTCAAACTCTTGCTGAGGAACCTGCAACCAAGAAAAGATGTTGGGTATCTAACTTGAGTTAATGTAGATTCTGAAACCAGCCCTTAGTTTAAAAAAAGGTTTTACTTTTGGCTCCCTTTGTTTGGTTTGACACCCCTGCTCTAAATGCTAGTAAATCACACGAAACTCTGGTCTTGAGGACTGGAGTCAACTGTGTCTGTCTGTTATCATAAAATGTGTGAACCCAAAGGTTGGATTTTAACGAACCTCTCTGAAATGAATGAATGGATGAGCGTCTGCAAGCGTTTAATGTTTGGAGTCAACCTAATTCAAGATGGCTGCCACAGCTAATCAGCCTTAGCAAGCACTAACATGTTTATAACTTGCCGGTAGTTAGTTTTACAGATATTGAGCTTAGTGTGGGAGTAGCTGAGAGTCATACCTAACTCGTACTCTGATAACAGTTTGTGTTAGATCTTTGTTTAAAACTTGAGCATGTGAGTAAACCGGCGATCTGCATCCTTTAATGGGAGTTTCATTCTAGTTAGTGCATGGCCTCATTTCTTTTTTTTATTTTTTTATTTGAGCGCTGGTTAGCAGTTAGTCGTACAGGTAAAAACAGACCAGTGTCAGGGCCGTTAGTTTATAATTTTTTGGTACAGAACTGGATTCAGACCTCAGAAACCGGAGCTCATCATCCACCTCGCTTTGTGTCTCCAGTTTGTGGCTCATCCAAACTGCCAGCAGCAGCTGCTGAGCATCTGGTATGAGAACCTGCCCGGTCTGAGACAACAAACCACCGCCATCAAGCTGCTGGTGGTTCTGGCCGTGGTCATCGGTCTGCCTGGACTGGCTGTGGCTTACTGGATCACTCCGTGCAGCAGAGTAAAAACCATTTGACGTCCACTCATTAAAAACGGGAATCAGATCTTTATTGCATCATGAACACATTCTCTTTATCTTTGACTTTTTGTTTGTTTTCAGGTGGGTAAAGTTATGCGCAGCCCCTTCATGAAGTTTGTGGCCCATGCTTCATCGTTCACTATTTTCCTGTGTCTGCTGATCCTGAATGCTGCAGACCGTTTCGCAGGTACCAACATGCTGCCTAACATGACCCACCTTCAGAACCCTGAAGGTTCACAGCTCAGCTCTGACCGGCTGCTGCTCTACCGTAAGACCACCACACCCTTCACCTGGATGGAGATCCTCATCATCTCATGGGTCATTGGTGAGCAGTGATGAATGCAACCAGGGAACAAACAAACAAGCAAAAAAGATGATGTCATCTTTGTGCTACTACAGGCATGATTTGGGTTGAAGTGAAGGAGATCTGGTTCCAGGGACCTGGGGAGTACCTGGTCGAACCGTGGAACTTCCTGGACTTTGGGATGCTGGCCATTTTTCTGGCCTCCTTCAGCTGCCGCTTCTCTGCTGCGAGACGTGCAGATTTAGCCCAGGACTACGTGCACGAACATTGTAGGGCGGTGGTGGGACAGTCTCCACAGACAGACGCCTACAGCCTCTGTAAAACACGGATCCGTCTGCCGGCAGAGGTAGACTACTTCACCAAAGGTGGGTCTTCTCATACACCTGGACCAGCTTTCTCTCCTTATAGAAGGAAGAACGTAGAAAACTCTGGACACAATGTCACACTATTTTATAATTCAATTCATTTAATTTATATAGCACGCAATCACAACAGAAGTTGCCTCATGGCACTGAACAGAAACATTCACATTATAAAAGCCAATTAGTAAAAGTTCTCGATCTAAGGAAGCCAGCAGACACGATGAATATTCACTTTATTGCATCTTCACTTGCCCATCCTGAGCAAGCACAAAGGCAACAGTGGAAAGGAAAAACTCCCTTTTAATAGGAAGAAACCTTTAGCAGAACAAGGCTTAGGACAAGCGGCCATCTGCTTTGACCGGCTGGTTTGAGAGGACAGGAAGGAGGAAGAGACAAACACAGAATGACAGGTCCAGATGTACTTTCTATTGGAAGAAAGACTAAAAACACGTCAAGGACAGAAATAATTACAAATACAAAACAGGTAGAGTAGAGACAGCAGCAGAGAATATGTGGTCAGTTTGTCCTCCAGCAGTCTAAGCCTTTAGCTGCATATTTAAGGGATAGCTCTGGAAACCCAAGCCAACGCTAACTATAGGATTTATCAAAAAGGAAAACTTAAACCTAATCTTAAAACTGGACAAGGTGTCAGTCTTATGGACAGAAACTGGAAGTTGATTCCACAAGAGAGGAGTCTGATAATTGAAAGCTGTTTATAGGAAACAAGCTGAAGATGAAACCAGAAGGAAAACCACAAAGAATAGAAACACGCCTTTATGGACGTCCTCCACAAGTCACATCTGAAGGTTTAACTTTCCTCTGAAATGATACGTTTTTACTCACGTACCTTAGAAAAACTAAAGGTTTCATCTTTAACACACTGGTTAGAAAATGCAGATTCAGAACAGGAAAGTAGCGCACGACTTGTTTATTCATTTTTTGCAACTTTTAAACATTTTGATATGTTTAACTTTACAATCATTGTTCTCTGCAGCATGGTGGCGCAGCTGGTAGAGCTGTCGCTTCTCAGCGAGCAGGTTGCAGCGGTTCAAATACCGATCGCGGGCCTTTCTGGGTGGAGTTTGCATGTTCTCTCCGTGCATGTGTGGGTTTCTTCTCCGGTTTCCTCCCACATACCAAAAACATGCATGTTAGGCTGATTGGTGACTCTAAATTGTCCCTAGGTGTGAGTGAGAGAGTGAATGGTTGTTTGTCTCATTTGTCTCTATGTGTCCATGTGATGGACTGGGGACCAGTCCAGGGTGTCCCAGCCTCTCACACAGTGATGGCTGGACATGGGCACCAGTGACCCCTGTGACTCAGAAAGGAAGAAGCGGGTTAAGATAATGGATGGATCATTGTTCTTACTGAACTGGACTCAGACTTCTTCACATCTTTCAAAAACTTTGTGCTCTTTTAGAAATCTACCTCAGCTCGTCTGCTCCATTTGTGCTTTCTTATATCCTTGTGTCCTTTTTGCCTTATGTCTCCTTACATGTTTTTGTAGGCTCCCTACCCATCTCTGAAGCAGTAGAAACCGTCAGAAAACAACTTTTACAAGACAAGGACTTAATCAACAGGACCAACTTCACCCCAGACCAGATCTGCACCATGTTGGATCTCTGCCTCTCCACCACTTATTTCAAGTTCAATGACAGTTTTTACAGACAGAAGCACGGCTGTGCCATGGGATCTCCAGTGTCACCCATTGTTGCCAATCTCTACATGGAGGAAGTGGAACAGAGAGCCCTAAACTCCTATGAGGGAACAACACCAAGCCATTGGTTCCGTTATGTGGATGACACTTGGGTCAAAATCCAAGCTAAGGAAATAGAAGCGTTCACCAGACACATTAACTCAGTTGATAACAACATCAAGTTCACCAGAGAGGATGCAAACGACAACAAACTGCCTTTTTTGGACTGTTTGGTTCAGATGGAGAGAGAGTACAGCCTCAATATTGAAGTTTACAGAAAACCAACCCACACAGACCAGTATCTTCTGTTTGACTCCCACCATCCACTGGAACACAAACTCTCTGTCATCAGAACTTTACAACATCGGGCCGAATGCGTCCCCACAAAGACAGAAGGTAAGGAAAAGGAACAGAAACACATTCAAGAAGCTCTTCAAACATGTGGATATCCTAACTGGGCTTTTGTCAAGTCAGTGAGGAAATCTACAAAACACACTAATAAACTGAAAAAGGAGAACAGCAGACGTAAAAACATTGTCATCCCTTATGTTGCTGGAGTATCAGAGAAATTCAGAAGGATCTTCAACAAACACAAGATCCCAGTACATTTCAAACCCAGCAGGACTCTCAGACAGAGGCTGGTCCACCCTAAGGACAAAACACCCATACACAAACAGAGTGGTGTAGTGTATGTGGTCCAGTGCAGCGAGGACTGTCCAGACCTCTACATTGGAGAAACTAAACAGCCTCTTCACAGACGCATGGCTCAACACAGGAGAGCTAGCTCCACAGGACAAGACTCAGCTGTTCACCTCCACCTCACAGATAAGGGACACTCTTTTGAGGACCAAAATGTGCACATTTTGGACCGAGAACACAGATTGTTTGAGAGGGGGGTGAAGGAAGCAATTTATGTAAAAAGAGAAAAGCCGTCTCTTAACAGAAGAGGAGGCCTCAGATTTCCACTTTCAAAAACATATAATGCAACTTTAAAACAGATTCCCAGCCGGTTTTCACACCTGATGGAAACAGAGGGGCCTCGTCTGTGAATTAGAGGAACAAAAGACTCTTACTGTTAAGGTTTTTTTAGGTGTGAATTGCCAATCTACATATGTGTGTGTGTGTGTGTCTTATCTCACTCAGCCTTATAACCTGAATCTCTCACTCTCTGCTCTTTGAATTGAGAAAGCTCCTCGGATGAGGAGCGAAACGTCTTCTGTTACAAATAAAGTCCAGTTGTTTTTGTATTGAACGTTTTTTGAATTCATCATGTCCTGGATGACTGAGAATCTTCACCAGCATGTAGGCTCCCTACACTTTTTGTCCGTTTAGTCTCTACATATATTCTTATTTTTTATGTCCTTTTACTTTTAATTCATCCTTTTATTTTTTCTACACGTCCGTCATTATTGTCACATTGTCTCTTTTTTTGTTGTGTCTTTACGTTTCTTTTTTGTCTTATTGTGTCTCATCCTGCTTCTTCTGTCTCTCTGCTCTTTTTGTTTGTTCCTCTGCTCTTTCTTTTTTTAATTTAAATATTTTATTAACATTGAAAGCTCACAAATTATTTAGTTCACCCTGCTGTTTCACTGAAAATATAAACTTTTCTAGTTGCTGTTGGTCTGTTTTGCAGCTCGTATGGACTGGGTCCCATCAGATCCTCAGCTTGTGTCGGAGGGGCTCTACGCCATCGCTGTGGTGCTGAGCTTCTCAAGGATTGCCTACATTCTCCCTGCCAACGAGAGCTTCGGTCCACTCCAGATCTCTTTAGGAAGGACGGTCAAAGACATCTTCAAGTTCATGATCATCTTCCTCCTGGTGTTTCTGGCCTTCATGATCGGCATGTTCAACCTGTACTCTTATTACCTGGGGGCCAAGCAGAATGACGCCTTCACCACGTGAGTCAGAAACACAATCATCGATCAAAAGTCTGTTTGGTGTTCACGGAGTACTTTTTTAATGATAATAACAGATGGTGTTGCATTAGTTATTATTATTATTTTATCAGTAAGCAGTTCAAATCTCAGGATTTACTTTTATTAGGAATAAAAATAAATGTCAAGGGTCCATTTTGCTATAAACGAGTACATGGGTTGAAGTTGAAGATATTTATTCCAGGTGTGTAACACACATTGTATTATTTTTTTGTAAAAAAATAATAAAACATAAATAAATTGAATCTAAACTGAACCACACTGTGACATTTAAGCGTAAGGCCGACTTTGGTTTTGTAGCTGATTTTGAAACAACAACCTCACATCAGGTAGATGTATTTTTAGAAAGATTTATAACTTACTTTTAGCTAAGGATAATGACAAGAATATATCTTTAATAAGCAAGTGTTTCGTCTGCAAGAGGTTTTTATGCAGTAGTTCAATGACTGAAACCAACGGGTGTGTAATCAATATGGTAATCCATGTTGCCCAATAATGGGACAAACTGAGTGTAAAACGGTTCTGTTGTTGCAGGAAGCATCTGTAACGTCTCCACAGTCAGACGATTAATGTTGTCTTCTTGTTACCTCCATCCAGCCTGGAGGAGAGCTTTAAGACGTTGTTCTGGGCCATATTTGGACTGTCAGAGGTCCGGTCTGTAGTGATCAACAATGACCACAAGTTCATCGAGAACATCGGCTACGTGCTGTACGGGGTGTACAACGTTACCATGGTGATAGTGCTGCTCAACATGCTCATCGCCATGATTAACAGCTCCTTCCAGGAGATTGAGGTACGTCTGTTTGAACACACCCTGACAACCTCTGGACAACCGTCCTCACAGTCCTCGAATCATTATATATCTGTTTGCTGGAGCTTTCTCAGTGACGTCAGGAGCATCAGTTACATTTAAACTAGAGAAATTGCATTTCCTACGAAAATGCAGTGTGAATGCTTATTGCTGAAGAACTAGCTGATAAACAGCTGAAGTTAGCTCAAAACGTGCTGAAACGTAGCTCAAATGGAAGAACAAGCCTAAGTTAGCAGAAGAAAGCAGAAAAACACATATTTGTTGAATTGCCATATTTAAATAAGCAGAAATTACCACAAAAATGAAGACATTAACTATAAAAGTTGTAATAAGCCAAAAAAAACAAACAAACAAACAAACATAAAGT